TATCTATCTATCTATCTATCTATCTATCTATCTATCTATCTATCTATTTATCTATCATGTCTATCTTTCTTGTCCATCATGTATGTCTCTCTCATGTTTATCTATCATGTCTATATCTTCATGTCTATCATGTCTGTCTTCATGTCTATCATGTATGTCTCTCTATCTAATGTCTATCATGTCTGTCTCTCTCATGTTTATCTCTCATGTCTGTCATGTGTGTCTTCATGTCTATCATGTCTGTCTTCATGTCTATCATGTTTGTCCGTGTAATGTCTATCATGTCTATCATATCTTTCTTGTCTATCATGTCTGTCTTCATGTCTATCATGTTTGTCTGTCTATCATGTCTATCTTGTCTATCATGTCTGTCTCTCTCATGTTTATCTATCATGTCTATCTTTCACGTCTATCATGTCTATCTATATCTATCATGTCTATCGTGTCTATCATCTCTTTTCTCTCTCTCTCTCTCTCATCAGATTTGTGTGCCGTTCATGTCGGTAAAACGTTAAAAAATGACCATAGAATAAATCGCCACAAGTAAGCAACAGTGTCCCTTTAAAGCGGAACGCCGTAGCTTCCCACCTTGTTGCTGGGGGGGGAGGGGGCGAGCGGGGGGACTTTCGTTAAGGCGGACTGCTGCAGCCGAGGGCAGCGGGACCATAGAGTTGGGGGCAAGAGTGGAAGAGGAGCATCTGGCTTCCGGTGCCGGAAAAAAAGAGGGAATGAAGCCGCCAGGGACCTCTCCGGAAGTAGGGCACAGCTGCCAACTCGCCATGCGGCTATTGCTCCTGGCTCCCGGCCGAGCCCAGACTGGCAACGGGACCACCGCCCGGAGGATCCAGTAAGCGGCCCCCTCCATGCCCGGCTTTGCAAACCCACCAGGCCGGTGCAAACTCTGCAGCGCTGTTAAGACGTGGGTGGGCAGGCGGGAATTCGTCCGGTGCAGCCGAGCAAGGCTGCAAAGCGAGCGGGGTGGGTGGGAGAGCCAGTGGCCGGAGGGGATGCTCGGGACGCCCCTCCTGGATTGGAAAGGGAAGCCCGTGTGGTTGGCTGGGTTCAAACGACCCGCCAAACCCGGGTCAAGGAGGCTTCAGCAGCTGGGCTGCACCTGTTGAATGATTACCCGGGTTTTAAACTCTTCTGGTTCACTCTATAATGGGGATGAATCAGAAACCGGGTGGTGAGAATGTAACTTTTTTGTGTTTGTTTTGTATTCTGGCTGCTTATTTCGTGTCCTCGGTGGTTGTTTTGTCTTGTGGATACTTTGTATTTTCTGTAATATGTATATATCTATGTATATCCTTCCTTCCTTCCTTTCTTTCTTCCTTTCTTTCTTTCTTTCTTTCTTTCTTTCTTTCTTTCTTTCTTTCTTTTGGGGGGGAGGAAAATAAGGGGGGGAAATTTTGCCTCTGCCTACCAACATCCATCGGTATTCATCTGGCTAGCGTCCTGTAAGTGTGTGAGAGAGTTGAGGGCTGTTTGGAAACTGAAACAGTATTTGTGTGAGCAAGGAGACAGCAAGGAGGCTGGGCATGGCTTAGCTCAACTATATCACCAGGCTTGAGATTTTGGGCTTGGACAACTTTGAACTATGCTGCCTAGGGTTAGACTTAAGCGTACCACACAAAATTATCTGCTACAATGTCCTACCACTCAATGACTACTTCAGCTTCAACCACAACAATACAAGAGCACACAACTTCAGAGTGGTCAATGCCTGGAATGCACTCCCTAATCCTGACTCCTTTAACCTCAAACTAACCATTGTTGACCTCACCCCATTCCTAAGAGGCCTGTAAGGGTCATGCATAAGTGTACCATTATGCCTTCCGTCCCTGTCCTATTGTCTCCATTTATTCGTGCCTATTTCCTGTATTCTTACTCGTGTTTATACATACCTATTGTAAGTGACAAAATAAATAAAATAAATAACTGTTCTGTACTAAAGCTGCTTGGTGCTCTGAAACTAAAACTGAAACTCCTCTGCTTGTGTTTTGCATTTGGAAGAGATTTCTTTTCAGGTGGGGAGGGGGATTAGAACTCCTTAGCATCAGAGTGTGTTAATAATAATAATAATATAGGAAATACTCATGCTCTGATGGTCATTTTTAAAAAAATCCTTTCTTAGCGAGCACCTAGAAGCCAAGAGGAACATAGGTGCCAAATTTCAAGTTTGTAGGCTTTACGGTTCTGGAGATTTTGTGATGATGCGTGAGTGGTATTTGGCATTTATATATATAGATTTCAACACGGATGTCAAACAATGTGTATTTGTCTGTGCGTAATACACCCATCTTATAGGAAGCGTTTGGATCTTAGCTCCGCCCAGTGTGTTGATTCTATGCACAACATGCAAACGTGGCATTCTCTCTAATGCCAGAGTTCAAAAACATTTGAACTTTGTTGAAGAGCACGTCTGAGCATGGAATTAGCTAAGAAAACAAGTCAATGGATTATCGGGTAAATTCTCTTTCCCACGCAGCTTCTTGAAAGTGCAGCTTTTACTTCCATAGAGTATCACAAGGAATATCATGGCTTATGTGAGAATGGGTTTTTGATATTCCTAATAGGAAAAAGTTAGATCAACAGAGTTGGAAGGGACTTTGAAGGTCATCTAGTCCAACCCGGGCAGGAGACCCTACACCATTTCTAACCAATGGCAGTCCAGTCTCTTCTTGAAAGCTTCCAGTGATGAAGCTACCACAACTTCCAAAGGCAACTTCTGTTCCATTCATTTATTGTTCTCCCTGTCAGAAAGTTTCTCCTTATTTCCAGGTTAAATCTCTCCTTGTTCAGTTTCCATCCAATATTTCTTGTCTGGCCTTCAGGTGCTTTGGAAAATAGCTTGACCCCTTCCTCCTCTTTGGGGCAGCCCCTCAAATATTGGAAGACTGCTATCCTATCTCTCCTGGTCCTTCTCTTCACTAGACTAGCCAGGCCCAGTTCCTGTAACCGTCCGTTGTATGTTTTAGTCTCCAGGCCTTTGATTATCTTAGATACATTCAGATTAACAAGAGTTGGAAGGGCCCTTGTCGGTCATCTAGTCCAACCCCCCATCCAAGCAGGAGACCCTACAAGTCAAGGGATTATCGGGCAAATTCTCTTCCCATGCAGCTTCTTGAAAGTCCAGCTTTTACTTCCACAGAGTATCACAAGGAATATCATGGCTTATGTGAGAATGGGTTTTTGATATTCCTAATAGGAAAAAGTTAGATTAGATCAACAGAGTTGAAAAGGACTTTGTAGGTCATCTAGCCCAACCCGAGCAGCCTACACCATTTTTGACAGAGGGCTGTCCAGTCTCTTCTTGAAAGCTTCCAGGAATGAAGCTCCCACAACTTCCGAAGGCAACTTCTCTTCCACGGGTTGATTGTTCTTAGTGGCAGAAAATTCCTTCTTATTTCCAGGTTGAATCTTTCCTTGTTCAGTTTCCATCCATTGTTCCTTGTCTGGCCTTCAGGTTCCTTGGAAAATAGCTCCTCTCTGTGGCAACCCCTCAAATATTGGAAGGCTGCTCTCCTGTCTCCCTTGGTCCTTCTCTTCCCTAGACTAGCCAGGCCCAGTTCCTGCAGCCGTTCATTGTACATTTTAGTTCCATTGGTCAATTACAATCCATGCTGGAAGGAAAATGTTTGGTGCAATTTCTGGAAATCTCAAAGGCATCGTTCTTTGTGTGTGTCTGTGTGTGTTCGTGCATGCATGTGTATAGAGAGTATATGTGTGTCTGTCTGTCTGTCTATCTGTCTATCTATCTATAGGGAGGGAGAGAGGGAAAGAGAGATCTATATAACTAAATATATTTCCCTTTTGCTGCTAATATCTCTCCTGAGTCTCATTAGGAAATTAGTTTCAAGTCATTGGCAATTTGCAAGCCTATTCATCTGAATAGGAATGTAAATCATGGTTATTGGTACAATGGAAAGAAAAAAATTTCTGATTCGTGTTAAAGTGGAAATTTGTTCCCAATTTTGGTTGTAAGTGGAACGCTACCTGAAGTAGAACTTCATGGCCTTATTTCCCTCGCAGAAATTAATGCTAATATCCTGCTTTTTAAAACATTATTCCATCTGCTCCTGTTTTCCAAAGAGATCATTTACAAGCTGCTGGGCATTTGTGTATCTTGAAGGACACCTCTGATTATGAGTCCCCATTGGCAATTGCAAATCTCATCTCTTCAGAGAAATTGGAGGCAGCTCTGGGCATCCATCTCTTTAAAGCTGGAAGGCTTCTTCAAGGTAAGATAAGGGCTCTTGGTTTCAAAAGGGGAACCAGTGTTGTTTGTTTTTTGACAAAAGCCTAATAAATTGCTCTTCTAAAATGTCTGCAATAGCTTTGATAAGTCTGTTATAACTGGGCTGCAATGATATGCATAACCCCTAGGTGGAGGCAAAGACCTAGTTTTTCTGTATCTCTCTCTGCTACCCTCTACTGGTTATGTAGATGTTTTGCACTGTGGATCTGTTCTTGGGCCCCATTTTTTTTTTCCTATGACTTGAAATCTCCATTTTAACACGAGAATAAGTCCAGGATTCAACAGAAGCCATCTGTTGATTGCTCCTCTCCAAAAGATGCTTTGCATTGGCATTTCAACATCAGTGACTTATTGCTTTCCTTGTCTGCCTGCATTTTTTCCCCTTCCTCAATGGTTGATATCCAGAGATGTTGGAGCATCTAACCAACCTCTCCAGCAAAGCAGACACTGGAGAACAGCTGGTAAAATAGGTCACGGATTCCTCTGCCAGTTCTTGACAGTTTACCTGATTCCTTTTTAACAAGTGAACTCATTCTACCTAGAATTTAAAAGCAGCCTTGTTCCCTAATTAGCTGCCATCACAGCTCCTGTTTGTTAGCTTAATGGGGTGTAAAACTGCCCAGTTAATTGTTTTCTCCCCTCCCCTTCCACTCGTCTAATGGCTGTGTTTTATTTTTAAAGGAGGTTTATAGTTTTTGTTAGCACCACTGCTTTTGAGCATCCCTGTTGACAGCAGAGGGGTGCTTGATTTGAAAAGACACAATGCAAATGGCTCTTCTTTGTAACCACAAGGCTGGCATGGTGGGAACAGGTTGGAGAAGATAGGTGGCTCCCATTTGGCCAAAGACAATCTGAGAGATGGCTGGTCTCAAATTTCTGTTTGAAAAGAGCACTTAACACTGCTAAAAGCCTCTTTTCCTTCCCCCGCCCGCCCCAAAAGGAACACCAGGGCAGAGGGTTAATATGGGCGGTCCTCATATTTTGTGACAGCCTTGCTTAGTGACTGTTTGCGGCCACAATGGGGAGGAGAAACTAACTTGGCAATCTGTCCTTGCACTGATAACCTTTGTAGGTCTGTTAAACAAAGGAAAGAGGAAACAGGCTTGTGAGCCCAGCCTGTCAGGGCTCTGGCCCTGACCCCCGTTTAAATCATGAGTCTCAAGCCAAACTTCTAAAACTTAAAAAGGATTTATTGAGAGTTAACATGCTGGCCCTGCCTGGGTGTAGCCGACTCTGAGACACATCATTCATTGTCACCCTTGACCCTGGGTTTCCCCTGCCCCCTGGGTGTATCATAATTTATATTCTCCGATGGGACACATCCATAGCCAAGAGTCATCAATCATGCTCTCCAGTTAGATATTTGCCCGGCAGAAATTTCGGTCACCTAGTTACTATCTTTAAAAAAAATATTTATGGAATGCACTTTCGGTTTTGCAAGCTGCTGCACTGCTCCCTTTCTGTTGGCAACTCTAAAAAAAAAACAGAGAAATGTTTTATGAGTTGACACGGTCAGTGTTTCACTCAGTGATTATTTTGCTTAATGACCTCAATGAATGATGGCTGTTAAACGAGGACGACGCGTGGAAGAAGAAAGCAAGCGGAGAGCCGTCCTTGCAAAAAAATCAAAACCCAGAGGTGCAATGATAGAAAGCAGAGGTGCTCCTCATATTACGACTATACGTTGTGGCTGGAATTGTCACTGCTGATTTTATGACCTTTGGGGGGGGGAAGGTTGCTAAGCAAATCTGCAGTTGTTAAGTGAATCATGCAGTTGTTAGTGGGTTCCTTCCATTGATTTTTGCTTGTTGGAAGCCGGCTGGGAAGGTCACAAACAAGGATTACACGAACCCCATTTGCAAGGGTCATAAATCCGTACCGGTTGCGATTTTTAATTGTGCTTGCATGTCCATGGGGATGCTGCAATGGTTGTAAGTGCGAGGACCACTTGCGAGTCGCTTTTTTTTATGTCATGATGACTTGGAACAGTTGCTAAACAAATGGTGGTAAATTGACTACCTGGATTTGCAAGCACCTTCCAATGGGGAGGGGGTGGTGGACTTTGGAGTGCTTCAACGCATGCCCTACTTCAAAGAGGAGACCAATCAATCGGAATAAAGTTGGAAGGGATCTTGGAGATCTTCTAGTCTAGCTCAAACAGGAGAACAGAACAGAATATAGAACAGAATAGAATAGAATAGAATAGAATAGAATAGAATAGAATAGAATAGAATAGAATAGAATAGAATAAGGAATAGAATTAGAATAGAATAAGGAATAGAATAGAATAGAATAGGATAGGATAGAATAGGATAGAATAAGGAATAGAATAGAATAGAATAAGGAATATAATAGAATAAGGAATAGAATAGGAAAGGATAGGATAGGATAGGATAGGATAGAATAGGATAGAATAAGGAATAGAATAGAATAGAATAGAATAGAATAGAATAGAATAGAATAGAATAGAATAGAATAGAATAAGGAATACAATAGGAAAGAAATAGCATAGAATCTGGAAGGGACCTTAGAGGTCTTCTAGCCCAGCCCCCTGCTCAAGCAGGAGATACCAACTCAGATAGGTGTCTGTCTAGTCTCTTCTTAAAAACCTCCAGTGATGGAGCACCCTCAGTTTCTGGAGGCAAGTAGTTCCACTGGTTGATTGTCCTCACTGTTAAGAAGTTTCTCCTTAATTCCAAGTTGCTTCTCTCCTAGATTTGTTTCCATCCATTTTTTTCTTCCCTTCCCTTCTGGTGCTTTGGAGAAGAGCTTGACTCCCTCTTCTTTGGGGCAGCCCCTCAAATCCTGGAAGACTGCCATCATGTCACCTCTAATCCTTCTTTTCATTAAGCTAGACATGCCCATTTCCTGCAAACATTCTTCGTGTGTTTTAGTCTCTTTGGAAAGGTGTCAGCCAACATTTATCCCAGAGTTAAGTTTGGTGGACCAAGTGGCACCATCTGGGCCACTGGATTAACTATTGAAGAACTGTTGAAATTCTCCATTTTTTTCAGGAAGCCCCGTTCCTTTTGGGATTATCTTTGGAGGCACAGATGTTAATGAAGATGTCAAAAATGAGGAGAAGGCCCAAGTTATGGAGAAGGTGTTGGATGAAGCCAGGTAAAGAAATGTTCCTCTTACTCCTCCTTATTATCCTATCGTGAATCAATCAAAATCTATTTGGACCTTTATCCCAAAGTTGTTTTTTTTTTTTTTCAAAAGGCCACTGGATTTTCTTGGTGTTTTCATTGAAAGCATTTTGCTCCTCAAGTTTCTTCAGTTCTTAGATGAGAAGCGAAACCAAGAAAATCCAGTGGCCTTTTTGGAAAAGCACCTTTGGGGTTAACCATGACTGGGATGATTAAAAATCTCCATAGTTTGGACCAGAGGTCTCCAAACTTGGCAACTTTAAGACTTGTGGACTTCAATTCCCGGAATTCCTCAGCCAGCAGGCTGAGGAATTCTGGGAGTTGAAGTTCACAAGTCTTAAAGTTGCCAAGTTTGGAGATCCCTAGTTTGGACCTTCCTTAGGCTGGAGCAGAGGATCTATAGAATAACACTGTCCAACTATTTAGTAAGACTGTATTACTATTATTCTTCTCATCCTTCCTATTACCTATGTCTTCCAACTTATAATTATAACCGTGTTGCTTGTATCTTTACAATTTATATTGTTTTATTTGTTCCCTGGTATGATTTGTTTGCCTATTAGTAACCTATGACTATCGCTAAGTGTTGTATCTTGATGATTCTTGATGAATGTATTTTATTTTATTTATTCCCTCAACGCTGTCCAACTATTTACAAAATCTGCACTACTATTACTATTAATCTTCTCATCACTCCTTATCACCCCTCCCCTCCCACTTGTGACTGTATGACTGTAACTTTGTGGCTTGTATCCTAACGATTTTTATTGACTGTTTCCTAGTATGATTTGATTGCTTATTTGTACCCTACGACTATTATTAAGTGTTGTGCCTGATGATTCTTGACTCTTGACGAATGTATCTTTTCTTTTATGTACACTGAGAGCATTTGCACCAAAGACAAATTCCTTGTGTATCCTATCACACTTGGCCAATAAGGAATTCTATTCTATTCTATAAGTCAAGCCTTCTTCAAGGCTTCATCTTGGAAAGATCTCAACTATGGACACTTGGGTGGTGGAATCCTAAGATACAGAGCCTGTTTTGTCAAAGGCAAACCCTAACCCTAACCATAACCCTAACAGAATTTGGGGAACCTCTCTGGACTGCTAAAAAGAGTCCCTTTTGCTGTGAACAGAAAGATCTTAAATTGGATTGTGCTTTTGAGTCTATCAAAAAGTCCATCATGTAAACCCCTCTTCAGATGAGGATGTAATTCAGAAAATACTAGACTGTGCAGAGATGGATAGATTGACAGTAAAAATAAAGGATGAAGAAGACACAGAATATTACTTAACATGGAACAGATTTTACGAGTGCTTAGAGATAAGAGGTAGAAATTAGGCAAAGAAAGATCATTGCTATGTATGAATTAAATACAAAGAGGGTTGATAATTATAAACATGTTGATATAGTTAACAGAAGTATAAATAAACTAATACAAAGGGAAACTTAGTTAAAACTATGTTGTTACACTATTATTATTATTACTAGTAGTATTAGTATTATCAGTATATATGTTGATACTTCTGTTTGTTTTTCCTTTGTTTTTTTTGTAAATGATATGCCCTGACAATACACTCTATTCAAAATGTTTATGAATAAAAATAAAACCTATACTAAAAAAAAGTCCATCGTGTTCAGCGGTATTTTCTTCTCCATGTCTCTAGGTTTGCTGTGTCCTTCACCGAAGCCATGAAAGAAGCAGCTGCAATGTATTGGGTAGGTGAGGCTGGGGATGCATGAAGTTTTTATTTTGTCTCTTTCTCTTTTTTAAATTTTAATTTAATTTAATTTAATTCCCCTTGCTGTTGAACCTTTTTGGTTTCGAGCTTGAAGTTCTGCAAGGATTTTGCACACCTGGCTTATGTCATACCAATCCTCCTCCTCCTCCACTTCCTGGACCTTCAGTGGTAAAAACACATTTGACATTCATGTGAAAAGACAGAAATTGATCAGCTTTGAAGCTACATCTTGTCCTCTTCTTGATCAAGGGAGGTACTAACACCACTCTATAAAGCCTCAGGAAGATCACACCTAGAATCCTGCATCCAGTTTTGGTCACCACATTATAAAAAAGATGTTGAGACTCTAGAAAGAGTGCAGAGAAGAGCAACCAGGATGATTAGGGGACTGGAGACTAAAACCTACGATGAACGGTTGCAGGAACTGGGCCTGGCTAGTCTAGGGAAGAGAAGGACCAGGGGAGACAGGAGAGCAGTCTTCCAATATTTGAGGGGCTGCCCCAGAGAGGAGGAAGGGGGTCAAGCTATTTTCTAAAGCACCTGAAGGCCAGATGAGGAATAACGGATGGAAAACTGATCAAAGAGAGATTCAACCTAGAAATAAGGAGGAATTTTCTGACAGTGAGAACAATCAACGGATGGAACAGAAGTTGCCTTCGGAAGTTGTGGGAGCTTCATCACTTGAGACTTTCAAGAAGAGACTGGACTGCCATCTGTCAGAAATGGTGTAGGCAGGGTGTCCTGCTTGGGTAGGGGGGGAGTGGTTGCACTAGATGACCTACAAGGTCCCTTCCCACTCTGTTAATCTGTTGATCATATCTTTAACGATGGGAATAATTTCTTTAGTCTGGCAAGATTCTGTCTGAAGGCGAGGAACATAAAGGAAACCACTCAGAAAAAACTACGTGTTTCTTGGTTCTCGAATCCTGTCATTTGTTCATAACATGAAGTCTCAAATGCCAGTTCTTTAGGTCCCTTCCAGTTCTGTTCATCATCATCATCATCATCATTGTTAATTAGAGGTATCTCTTCCTTTTCCTCTTTTTCTTTTTCTCCATCAGCACATGAACTTTAGAACTTTTTACTCCTCCTCCTTCAGCCTTTCACCTTTCTCCCCTTGGCAAACCTTGGTCCAATTCAACTTTCTGCAAACCTCATTTTATTCATTTCTGTGTTCGCATCTGTACACACACACACACACACACACACTCAATGGTGTACCTCCCCTCGGCCCACACAAATCAGCATCCCAACCTTGCAGAGTTCAGATGCCGCAATTGTCTGCAATTCCGAAGTACGCTTTTTAAAACCGGGTGGGTGCAAGAAGACTGCTAACTTTGGGGCTTACCTGTGCATTTGGCAAACCAAGGTTAAGAGCCATTGGGGAACGGGATTTGCAACCTGACTGAAGCTAGAAAGACAAGGCTTGAGGCTGGGGGAGCTAATTTAGGCTCGTGTCTGGCTTGAAAGCGGTTATTTTGCGGGCCTAACAAAAAGACAGATTTGGTTCAGCATGCTGGAGACTTGGAGGAGAATGGCTTTTTGTGTAAATACAGTATTTGATAGCAATCACAGACAGGGCTTTAATTTGTTTTGATACCTTCAAAAAGAACTACTCTAGATAAGTGCCCTCTACTGCTATGATTCTCTGCCTTGAAAATAAATTAAGCCTCTTTTGTGGGCAACCGTCTTTTTCCCCCTCCATCTCTCTGAACCGTGGCTTTCATTAACTGTTCTGGTTTTCTTTTTTCTTTCTTTTGATTTTTTTTTTAACCACCATAACGATGACAGTGGGGGTTTCTCGGTGGCCCAGGAAGACAAACAAGTCTAATAAAAGGTAGAAAAATAGTGCTGGAGAATGACTCTCTTCTCTCTCTCTTCTTTCTCTCTCCTTTCTTTCTTCTTTCTCTCCTCTCTTCTCTCTCTCTTTCTCTCTCATTCTCTTTCTCTCTCTCTCTCCTCTTTCTTCTCTCTCTCCTCTCTTGCTTCTCTTTCTCTCATTCTAATTCTCTCTCTCGTTCTCTTTTTTTCTCTCCTCTCTCCTCTCTGTCTCTCTCTTTTCTCTCTCCTCTCTCTCTCATTCTCTCTCTCTAATTCTCTCTCATTCTCTAGCTTTCTCTTTTTCTCCTCTCTCTCTTGTCTCTCCTCTTTTTTCTCTCATTCTTTCTCTTTTTCTTTCTCTCTTTCTCTCTCCCCCCCTCTTTCTCTCTCTTGTCTGCCTGTCTCTCTCTCTCTCCTCTCTCTCTTAAAAATCTGCTTTGCAAAAATCCTGATAATTGCATCAAGTTACAGGAATTGATTGCCGCTTACCACAAATATTGATTGAGGCTGATTGAGGGCTGCCAGCTCTGATTAGCTTCTGATGTCACCCGAAAAGATTTTTTTTTTATAGGGGTAATTTTTACCAGATATCTAGGCAGCTTCATCTTCTTGGCTGTGTCCTTAGACTGCCCAGTTTTTAAAGCCAGCATTGAGATCTTTATTTATTCCTTCCTTTCCTTGAATATATTTCTGAATGGCCTGCATAGGGTCAAAGCCCCAAATGAAAAGAAAAACAGTTCTCAACTTGCAGCCATTCATTTTGTGACATTTTTCACACTTTAGGACCATTGGAGCATCTGATGGTCGTGTGCTACTTAGAATAGAATAGAGCTGGAAAGAACCTTGGAGGTCTTCCAGTCCAGCCCCCTGCTCAGGCAGGAGAATCTATACCATGTCAGACCAGCGGCTGTCCAGTCTCTTCTTAAAAACCACCAGTGATGGAGCAGCCACTATTTCTAGTGGCAAGCTGTTCCACTGATTCATTGTCCTCACTGTTATGATGGTTCTCCTGAATTCCAGGTTGCTTCTCTCCTGGATCCGTTTCCATCCGTTGTTTCTTGCCTTCTGGTGCTTTAGAAAATAAGTCGACTCACCTCTTCTTTGTGGCAGCCCCTCAAATACTGGAATACGACCATCATGATTGACATCAATATCATGATGGATTGTCCTCAGTGTTAGGAAATTTCTCCTTAGTTCTAGGTTGCTTCTCTCCTTGATTAGTTTCCACCCATGGCTTCTGTCCCCAATGGAAGTTTCTTTATGGGAATCAAATAGAATCAAATAGAATTAGAATTAGAATAGACAGCTTGGAGGTTTATTTGTTTAGTTATATAGAATAGAATAGAATAGAATAGAATAGAATGGAATGGAATGGAATGGAATGGAGTGGAGTGGAGTGGAGTGGAGTGGAGTAGAGTAGAGTAGAGTAGAGTAGAGTAGAGTAGAGTAGAGTAGAGTAGAGTAGAGTAGAGTAGAGTAGAGTAGAATAGAATAGAATAGAATAGAATAGAATAGAATAGAGTAGAGTAGCGTAGAATGGAATGGAATGGAATGGAATGGAATGGAATGGAATGGAATGGAATAGAGTAGAATAGAATAGAATAGGGAATGGAATGGAATGGAATAGAATAGAATAGAATAGAATAGAATAGAAATTAGAGAAGAGTAGAGTAGAGTAGAGTAGAATAGAATAGAGATTAGAGTAGAGTAGAATAGAGATTAGAGTAGAATAGAGATTAGAGTAGAGTAGAGTAGAATAGAATATAGAATAGAATAGAATAGAATAGAATAGAATAGAATAGAATAGAATAGAATAGAATAGAATAGAATAGAATAGAATAGAATAGAATAGAATACTTTATTGGCCAAGTGTGATTGGACACACAAGGAATTTGTCTTGGTGTAAATACTCTCAGCATACACAAAAGAAAAGGTACATTCGTCAAGAATCAAGAATCATAACGTACAACACTTAATGATAGTCAAAGGGTACAATCAACAGTCAAATCCTGCTAGGAAACAGTCAAGTGGGAGAGTGGTCTACTTGTGTCTAATTATTTTCCACCTGCCGAAATGGAGGGGCTTTATATAGATGATACAGACCTTCCTTTTTAAGAGGAGTGACTGGGGGGGTCAAGGATGAATTGAGGGCAGCAACCAGGATGCTCCTTGCAGAGACAAGAATCTCATTTATTTATTTTTGTTTACCTCTCTTTGCGTACATTTTGAAGAGCAAATCTCTGAAATTTGAACTGTTTTGCAAAAGATTGCCTTGCCCCTTTGATTATAGTGATTAACCTGCTTTCCCCTGTGTTTTTTTTGGATTTGTTTTTGTTTTTATTATTAATTTGCAAAGCCTCAAATCAAGAACAACATCTGTGTCCAAGCTCAAGGTAAGTATTTTCCAAAATCCTCTTTTTGCCCCTGGCAAACTAGTTCCTATTTCTGTCTTTCTTCCAAATGAGAACCAACCACCTGCTGTCCCTTGAAGCCTCTTATGGTTTGTTTGGTGTTTGTTTGGGTTTTTTGCATAAAAACAAGAAGAAAATGAACTTGCGATCTCTGGTTTTGAGGATTAGGTAAGACAGATCAGAGAAAGAAGAGTAATACGATGTAATTTTGGAGAGAGGTTAAAATATATTTGTACTTTTAACAGCTGTGAAGAATATTAGAAGCCACTTTCTTTCTTTTTTCCATCCCTCCCTCCCTCCTTCCTTCCATCGATCCATCGATTCACTTTCTTTTTTCCTCTTCCTTCCTCTTCTTTCTTTTTTCTTCTTTCCATCCTCCCTCCTTCCATCCCTCCATTCCTTCCCCTTCCTTCCTTCCTTCCTTCCTTCCTTCCTTCCTTCCTTCCTTCCTTCCTTCCTTCCTTCCTTCCTTCCTTCCTTCCTTCCTTTCTTTCTTTCTTTCTTTCTTTCTTTCTTTCTTTCTTTCTTCTTCCTTTCTTCTTCCTTCCTTCCTTCCTTCCTTCCTTCCTCCCTTCCTTCCTTCCTTCCTTCCTTCCTTCCTTCCATCAATCCATCGATTCACTTTCTTTTTTCCTATTCCTTCCTCTTCTTTCTTTTTTCTTCTTTCCATCCTCCCTTCTTCTATTCCTCCATTCTTTTTTCCTATTCCTTCCCCTTCCTCCCTTTCTCCCTTCCTTCCTTCCTTTCTTTCTTTCTTTCTTTCTTTCTTTCTTTCTTTCTTTCTTTCTTTCTTTCTTTCTTTCTTTCTTTCTTTCTTTCCTTCCTTCCTTCCTTCCTTCCTTCCTTCCTTCCTTCCTTCCTTTTTCGCTTGTACTTTTTGGCTTTTTCTTTGCGTTCTTTCATTTTCTTTTCTTTCTCTTATATTACTTTGTCTTGGTTCTTATTCTCTTGTTGAAAGGTTTGGCACACCCATTTGATTTATTTTTCTTTAGTCTCCCCCGTCTCCTTACTTTCTATTAGTTTGTCTTCATATTTATCTTCTTGTTTAAATGTTTCGATTAAAAAAAAGATAGACTGAATGAAAACATCCTGCTGAGAAGCTTGCCCTGGCTTGCTTTTGGGAGGGAAATTGAATGCATGACCCGTCTCATTTCTAGGGATCGTGAGCCTTCCAAACAGGCGGCATAACTGGGCCGAATTTCTGCAGAGGGCAGGTAAACATGCATACAAGCATAAAATGTCCCAGAATTTTTTAGTAAAAAGTCTTTCTGAGAACAAATGTCTTTCTTTTTTGGAGAACTGGGAAAGGAAGAGAGAAGGAGAGGGAGAAAGGGGAAAGGAATGGAGAGGAGAGAAGGGAAGAGAAGGGAAGGGAAGGAAAAGAGGATGGGATGAGAGGGAAGGGAAGAAAAGGGAAAGGTGGAAAGGGGAGGGAAGGAAGAGGGGAGGTGCTAAATGGATGGGAAAAGGAAAGGAAAAGGAATAAACGAGGAAGGAGAAGAAAGGAGTAGGAAAGGAAAGAGAAGAGAAGAAAAAATGCCCAGGAAACCATAATGGTAATTGTGGGAGCTTCATCCCCGGAGGCTTTCAAGAAGAGGCTGGACTGCCAGAAATGGTGTAGGGTCTCCTGCTTGGGCAGGGGGTTGGACTAGATGACCTACAAGGTCCCTTCCAACTCTGTTAATCGGTAATCAAGAGGAATCCGATAAAAGGTCTCCAACATCACTACAACATGATCTGTCAATCGGCTGCGGCTCCCGGCCTCCCCTGCCAGGCTGATGGGAAATTGTCGTCGAAGATTCTACCTCACCCTGTCGCCTTGGGAAGACGCAAAACACTTCGAATCGATTCCCCTAAGTTCACCTATCCCTGCTGTCCTCGACTTACAACAGTTCGTCTAGTGACCGTTCTTCACACTTACGACCATTGTCAGGCCTCCCTCCCCCCCCGCCCCCCCATGATCCAGGGGTGGGAATTCTACCGGTTTGGACCGGTTTTATAGAACCGGTTGTTATGATTCTATGCAGTTCAGAGAACCGGAAAATCGCGCCCCTGGCTGGCCCCGCCCGTTTCTGCCCGCCCCTCCCCTCCTTGCCCAGTCAGTCCTTATCGCACATGCGCCACATCGAGGTGCATGCCCGACATCGCTGACTGTGTTCTTCCTTGCCCAGTCACTCCTTAAAGTATTTGGTTTTTTTCCCCCTACCGACAATCAGCTGTTCCGATGATCAGCTGTGCCAGGATCCCCGGAGGCCCAGGAGGCAAAAGGGGCTGCCAAAAAAGAAGCCATGCCCACCCAGCCACATGACCACGCCCACCTAACCACGCCCACAGAACCAGTTCTTAAAGAATTTGAATCCCAACCCCCGACGTGATCGAAATACCGACGGGACTCCTAGTTATGACGATTGGCAGCATCCTGGGGTTCGCGAGATTCCATTTTTGTGACCTTCTGACAGGCAAAATCAAGTGTGTGTGTGTTTGTGTGTGAAAGAGAGGGAGAGATTCGCTTAACGACTGGGTTAGCAACTTCAGCTCTGCATGGAATCGCTTAACAACGGGCGCAAGACAGATCATAAAATGGGGCAAATGTCACTTAACAGACGTCTCCCTTTAGCAGCAGAAATGTTGGGCCTCCCTGGCGGTCGTAAGTCAAGGAGCGCCTGTACTTGCCGAGAATACTTTCAAGAGACAGGAAGGGGTGGGGGGGGGACCAGAGCAGCTTTTTTAAAATACTCACAGGTTGCGTTGTGTTGCTGTGCGTTTGTGAAGGACGACAAAGTAAAAAAAAAATAAAAATAAGAAAAGGTCAGCCCGCTGCAAAGAATTCCTCATTGTTGTTTTTTAAATGCAGCTTTTCGCTGCTGTGAATACAGCGAACAAGTTACCTCTATAGAAGAAGAAGAAAAAGAAGAAGAGGGTTAAAATTGGAAGAAGAACATAGGTTAAAATTGGAAATGGTTTAGACCTCCGTGGAATATTAAAATTGCATTAAGGGTAATTTTGGCTTCTTTACTATCGAGCAGAATGGCTCCGTGCTTTATGGAGCACTAAGGATATTTTGATTATGAATCTCGTTTTGTTTTGTTTTTTTTCCTCCCCCAACCTTTCTTTTCTTTTTCAGCTCCTTTTTGGGTAATTGAGCTATTTGGACTGGGGTTTTTTTTCTTGCTTTTTTTCCCCCTTTTCACGTTTTCTATCGCTCGTCTTCTGACGTCTGCTGCTTTCTAGCGTCGCCTGGTTCCCACTGACGCTTAATGAGGCAGTTGCAAATTCTACAGAAAAACGGAACCGTTTATATATATCAAATCTCTTTCTCTCCTCTTTCTCTTTCTCTCCTCTCCCTCTCTCCTTTCTCTCTCTCCTTCTCCTCTCTCTCTCTCTCTCTCATCTCTCCTTTCTCTCTCTTCTCTATTTCTCTTTTTTCTTTCTCTTCTCTCCTCTCTCCATCTCTCTCCCTCTCTCCTTTATTTTTATTTTTCTCTCCCCCCTCTTTCTTTCTCCTCTCTCCTTCTGTTTCTCTTTTCTCTCTCTCTCTCCTCTCTCCCTCTCTCTCCCCCTCCTCTTTCCCTCCCTCT